TTATTATTATTATTATTATTGTTGTTTTATTATTTTGGATGGAGCATGTTTTGCAACCTTAAAGGGCATACGTTGGGAACTGGAAAGTTGAAACCTTAGGTGTTAATGCATTTCACCACTATTTTCTTAGTTACATTAACGTTAGCAACTGAAACAAATGGCACTGCAGTAAAGCAAATACCAACGCCATTGTCAGATCACTCGTCGGTAGCCTTTTGATAACTTTGTGGGTAACTGTTGATGTAGCATGGAGTATCATTCGTAGGGATAAAAAGACGTCGTTTCTTCTTTCTTTGAATAGACGTAGAACATCAGCAAGACAGAAGATCTTAGAAATTCGATTGACTCTATTTATATGGTTATGAGTTTAATATCGAACAGTTACTAGATGACTAGACTCCTCTTTCAATTAATTTAAAAGAAATATTGTGCATTACTTGTGACAGTTTAAATTAACATACGTTATTTTCTCTAGAGATAAGTTTGACAAGTACCGTCTTTGATAGCATTTGTAATAAATTTTGACATTACTCTTAAATTTGAGAGTGAGTCCGATATAAGGAGTTCATGGAAATGGATACATATTTGAGGTTATCAATTTTTCCACTCGATGTAATGAATTCGACTCTGTTTTGTGGATACGATAAACAAAATATTCAGCAATATTAGAGGTACAAATTTCTTCTTGAAACCACTGAACTAATGTAGAAATGTGTCTCGAGTTTGTAGCACTAATAATCGTGACACATTCACATGAACTATACCTCTTTTGACACGGAACTGCAAGGCAAGATGGTAATTTTTACTACAGGTACTTTTCTTTTTTAAAATGTACTACTCGACAAACATCAGAAAGCGCAGCACTTGCTGAAGAGCTCTATGAAAATGCCATTGGAGCAATGATATTTGTACTGCATTACTTAGCAAGAGAATCAGTGAGGAAAGTGCGAGTTCCCGAGATTAAGAAGACTGCACCGTGTGTTGTTCGAACGATTTTATTCTCGTTGCTCGAAGGTTTAGCGGTCTCTCATGGTCGTGAAGTGAAATTCGAAACAGTTGACTGAATTCATTGAGAGGCTCCATTGACTTTGGCTCCATTCAGCATATGGTTACATGGAACAGTTTCAGGTCTGACGATGAGGATGGGAGACAGAGAAGATTTTCCTCATCTCTTGTAGCACTGTTGCAACGCTTTAAACGAACTTCATTTGGCATTTGGCATTAGCACTATAAAAAGGGCTCGCCTGATGGATGCTCTGTTACATTCTAGACTCAGTGGAACGAATCGCGGTGTCGGTGAGGGTAGGGTCGAAGTGGAATACGGTGGAAAGTGGGGACTGGTGTGCAAAGATGACTTCGACATGAAGGATGCCAACGTCATCTGCCGTCAGCTCGGATTCGAGAGGTACGCACGGTTCTCAATGAGAGTTTTTTTTATAGAAGCACATATGATTGCGGCAAATATTTTGTTTCCCTGAAAAGGGGCCGTTGTGTTGCTTGAATTATATAATTGGTTTTTTATTAGATCTAGCATATAACAGCTCAAACTGTTATGCATATGGTGGTGCCATTTTTGAGGCGATGACCACGCCCAGCTGTTACGTATTCGAAACGTCAAAATAAATAGAATTATTCGCATCGATTTCTATCTTTATCCGTGGGATCAGGAGACCTTCTGTTTTGAAGTAATCTTGCTTCAGATGGACCTGACTCAATTTAAGTTTACTCAAAGGAAATCAATTCAGTCCAGAATCTACCATTGCATAATAATGTTGTTAGATAGTTTTGTTTTATATGCCTTCCGGATCTGTAGCTGAAGGACAACCAGATCTTATCCGTCATTGCAAATTTCAGCTGAATTTCTCAGCGGCATATTTTGCATATACTTGTCATTTCGTATTCACAGACATAGATTGTTTACACTGATAAATAGGGCATAGAAGAAAATATCGATTCATTGCTTGTTTCAACAACGGTAAATGGTTTTCACTTCACCGGTCATGTTTAATGACAGTAATTAAAAAGGAACATACGAATTCCTTTAATTACTAACGCTTCTCAGTGCTGCTACATTTTTTCGAAGCCCTTTTTTCCAATCCTCATGTAGTTTAGCCGGTGTAGGTTTTGTCACAGTCATTGCACTAGATCATCAAATCAGAGCTGCGATCTCACTGCGCAGCAAATTTTGTGATTGATTCGAAAACCATTATTCGGTAGCTACTCTTTGGTTTTCTTAGAAAGTTTGGAAATTAATTTAATGAATACAATGGGATTAGGTTTATTGTTGAGTATTCTAAACATTAATAACGGGTTTCAATAAATTTCTTCTAATAAACTACTCGCTGTAGCCGTTTGTACTTAGGAAATATCATACGTTTTCAATTTTGCACAGCAGGCATGAGCTGCGGTGCAACTGCTAGTTTTTGTTATTATTCAGAGCAGAATTAGTTCACTGGCTTTATCGCTGAAGTCATAGTTTACAACGTTTGATTTATTATTAATTCGGACAATACTGAAGATGTCTTAATTTACGCTTTTAAGTGTCAATGATTATGAATCTTGCAAAAGAAATTGATTTCTACTGCTGCTGGTGAAACAGAGAGCGTTTCAAATGTTATCGAACTATAGTCTGATTGAAGAACCCCATAGGCTTCAAGAAATAAGATGGACATGCAGCTATGCCATATAGACTATCACTGTGTCTGCCATGATTTGCCTGCCAGTTGTTCGATTTATCTTCTCAGTGGCAGTAACAGTTTATTTTGGTTCTTCAATCAACCCAACATTCCCGTGGTCATGGCAAGCTTTTTTTGAGATGATCATCTCCCACACCGTATATTAAATTACGGTATAATGATAACTGAATTTAAACATTATTGTTAGAGGTGCCACCGCAATCACACCGGGTAGTCGATACGGACCAGCACGTAATGAACATTTCAATTTGCACAATTTGAACTGTGAAGGTGAAGAGACGAACGTGTTCTACTGTCGCCGCAGTTTGCATGGAGCTTGTCACTCGGTCGGCGATTCGGTAGGCGTCAAGTGCCGCATCAATTACCGTAAGAACAGAAGATGACGGTGGCGCCACGTAGCTAGCGTTTACTTCGCGTTCGTCTTTAGCTTCTCGATGCCAGGCTAACGGCGTGATGTACAACAACAAGTGCTACTACTTCTATGAGACGCCCGAGGTGACGTTCGAATCTGCTGACGAACGCTGCAAGCGAATTGGAGGCAACCTGGCCATCATTCAGAGTCAGAACGAGAACGACTTCATCTCAGAGACCCTGAACGCGTTGTCAGGCAAGCAGATTGCGACTGGTGTTGGACGTTGCGCGGCCATGGCTGATTTTAGAGCGTACGGTGAGACCGAAGAACACGTGGTTCATCGGCGGTGAGAAGGTCAATGGCGAGTGGAGATGGAGAACCAACAAGGAGCTGAAAGGATCGTCGTTTTCGAAATGGAACATCAGTAAGTAAATCTGTTGTTCTTCTCAGCTCTGACCACCCACCACCTGGGAAACACCTGGTTGAGTTTCAAATTAGTCAGCTGCTTTTCAGCCAAACTTGGGAGACCGGGG